CCTTGAACGTTTCGCCTTCTACGGAGCCTTCCTTGCGAAATCAGTTCAGGGAATTTGAAGCGTTTTTGCGAAGTGTCCTGGTGAATTCGAATCTGCTCGGCTAGTGTGAATGGTAACAGGATCTGAATCATATGGAATGTCGTTTTTCGACAGAGATTAGCGTTTTTTTAGCTTACAAAAGCATTACTCAAGAGCAGAAATACGATTCTGTATAAAACGATTCCTTTCAGAAATTATCGTCCAAGCGATGACACCACTTCAGAAGAACTGCGCCTTCCAACAAGCATAAAACCGGGTAAGTAATGTGATGTTGTGTGTATTCTATGTTTCTCAAAGGAAGACTGGACAAGGGTAATCGCTGTAGTATGCACAGGAAATCGACTTATATTTTGGACCTATTTTTTCGTTTTTTTTTGCTTCGCTCGACTCTCTAGGCATATGTGTCTCCAGTGAACAAACATAGCTGAGCGACCTTTTTTGTGTATACTCTATAGAGCATACATGTACCTGGCTTTTCCTAGTTCCTCCGTAGTTCAGTAGCACTCCATGCATTTGATTGGCTGAAGTACACCTTTCACCTCTTCGTGCCCAGCGCTTGTTTTCTCAGTCAGTGAACTAAGCTGCTTCGAGCTTCCTTTTTCTGAAATCTGTCACGGCACATGCATAACTCAACCAGATAATTCTTCCTTTCCATGTGTTTGCATTATTCAAGCATCTTGCTGAAGACTATTTCACCTTTTTCTTCAATGTGAACCTCTCGTCTTTCATTCGATCTATCCAGATTCACAAATTCACCAATGTAGGAGCTATAGTGCAGTCTTCGCTTCATCATCTTTTTGTCTACCTTATTCTTTTTTACTTCATTCTATGGGCACTTATATCTCACCTTTAATTGAACTAGTGAACCTTGAAACTGAAAAAGCCAGCATAAATTGAATTATTACTACAAATATTATGACTCCGCATGGACAGTCTACAAAATTCTACTACGGTATTCTCACTAGGTATTTCCACTGGCCAAAAATACTGAAGGGCATTAGGTTTCAAACCAGCCCAATGAACATACAAAGAAACGCCTAGTCACTCAGTTCTCTTGCTCTGGCTGAAGCGGTTAAAGAATTCTACTACAAGCATAATGGTTGTTATCCGTGGCATTTTTGAAAATACATGAAAACAAACTTCATATGTAATAACAAAGCAGAACTTACGAAATTCCATGGGTAGCTCATTGATGTACATCCTTCGTCAAATTCTGACCAAAATCATGGAGGCTTAGTTTACTTTGAACTCGAGAAGGTGGCAGGTTTCTATTCTCTATTACGGAAGTTCATAAAAACCTTTCTAGGTACTGCTATAGTCTATCCTCATTCTCTCGATTATACTAGTGCCATCCGGAAGGCTCCGCGCTATATTTCGCACTTTGTCCCTGTATAGGACCACTACCAAGCAAAGTGACAATTGAATTGACCGCCTCACACAACATGTTGACGACAGCATGACGCGCATGTGCATCCGATTTTCACTTGGATGGGGCTCGTTTTGTTTGGATTATTTGGCATTTTTCATGTTTTAAAACTGTCTAGACACAACATCTTGTCCGGAGCACAGTGCACCGATTACCAGTGGTGGTATTGTTGAAGGAGTAGTGAAATGGATGGGGTGATCGAACCCTTGTGTGTTTTTGTGTCGTGTCACGCGTGCGTGTAAATCTAAAACTTGGGTAATTAAACTTCATGTAACAATAAAACGATAACATAACCTTGAATTGCAAGTTAACATTCCCAATACCGGTGAGGATTATAAGGCAGAGACCAAAACTGAGCATCACAGTAAAGATAGAACGACAACAATAGCATTATAAGATCTACCAGTAGTAGTGAGAAATAGTCAAGTAACACGTGAATTTCTAACCGTAGTGAGACTTCTTGCATAAGAGCACTGCTAACTAGCATGAAAAGAACAACTAAAGTAAGAGCGGGTGCATCGTAAGATGACAAGCGTCAGGGTCAGGCTTTTGGCGCGCGATCACGATCACCTTCGGTAGTGGTTGACCACCCAATCAGACAAAGGAAGAGTAAAGATCGCGTAGATTTTGAGATAAGTAGCGTCTATTTCGAAAACAGTAATCAAAAAGTTGCCGAGATGCGTGCGCTGTCGTCGACGTCTATTGTCAATTTTTTTTGACGAGCTTGCGCAAAGAACATTCAATTCTTGTACAGCCGAGCATTGATCCGAGTAGATTTGGAGCTGTTTACGGAATCCCTTCATTCGGTAACTAGGCACGAAATGCTCGAAAATTACGAACACTAGCAAAGCAGGTAATATGCTGGATATATGCACCTCGTGCGAGGAATAGGCCACTGCTAGTCAATGTTGTTAAAATAGCGTTCATTACAAAAGGGATCTTGAAAAATTCAAAAATTTGAGCAATTATTTCCATGGATTTATTAAGAGACCGAACACATTGCAACTATAGAACTGTTGAGCTTCAAATGTTGTGAGAATTTTATCTTTATCTCAAAAGGACATCCACTAAGAAGTAGAGTAGTCTTGCGCCTACCAGTCAACACTTATTTTACTATTTCAGTATTATACAATTTGAGTATCAAAACGTATCTGCCTGGGTACGTGAACTTTCCACCAGAGAAAAATCTCACCTTTGATGGACAAGTTGAAATTTCATATGGAGGTCGTGGAGCCAACCAAAAGTATCGTGCTGAATGCAAATGAGATCAGTGTGGTAGAAGGAGAATACGAGGTCTCCTCGGTGAGCTCGTTAATTTTTTCAGTAAGCGGAAATCGAACGAAAATTATAATGAAGGGAGTTTGATTTATCCCTTCGGAGACGAAGTTCGCCAAGTTTCATACAGAAAACTACCTAATTGAAAATAGGACTCATGCATGGTCATCAAGGACGTGCGCAAACACATAAAACCTTCACTTACCTTTTGGCGCAACTACGCAGACAAGTGCTGTTTTGCTTTGTCCATCACCGATACTTTAGAAATTTTAGGCTTTGGGAATGGATAATCATAATTACACCTGATTTTTGCGAAAAGACATCTTGGTGATGGAATTGTTCACAAGGTCTCGATTAGGCAATCGAGTTTGCTGTTTTGAGCAACTATACCAGGAGAGGAATTTTTTAGTAGAGTAACGTAATTCAAGCAAAAGACATTCATGGACTGCAGGCAGAAGTTGAGGCCCAGACTTGGAATAACCATTGGAAATGAAAGGGCTGGAGGGGAAGAACGAAGACCTAATATGACCTTCATTTTAACTCGCATGTGTACTTTGAGGGAAGTCGAGGTTGTAATGGTATCCTTGCCCTGCGTCGTGACCAATATACCCCAGAATATGATGTTAAGCACCTAATCGGGGAAAAGATGTTTAATAAGGAATAGTACACGCTCTGTGTGTGTTACATCGTACCGGGAAAAATCCTAAATGATGTTGTTTTCTGCACCATACTCGTCGAGCCCTCTTCCCGATCTAGAGAATACACGTCTGCTCTATATCTCCTAAGCGACAAGTTGAAAAAGAGATACAGTAGCGGTCAAAAGTTTGGAAACTTTTTTATTTTTGATCTAGCGCGGCCGACACATAACGAAATTGTCCTCAAATTTAGATATTACATACAAAATCAAGTCCAGAATACGACGGGAAGAATAATTTCCAAAAATCTATAATCATATTTGAGAAATAAGATTTTTTCAAGTAATGGCGCGTCAAAAGTTTGGAAACTTTTTGTTTCCCTCATCATTATGATTCCTACTCTTCAATGTTTACTTGTTTCTGTTAATTTTAGTTCAACCATTGAGTAATGTGTAATTTCAAAATGAATTCATATGCAAAGGAAGCAGTTTTTCCATGGGAGGTCCTTTTTTAAACCCTACAATCCGGAATACGAAATTGAAATTGTTTCTTAGTAGTTCAGTCTCTACGGAAGCAATATTATCGAATGTTTTTAGCGTTTTTGGAGTCGAGTAAGCATAAGAAGAATGATCATTCACAAAAAAGTATCCTCACAAGAAAATTGGCCCTCCTCAAATACTTCGAAGGGTGGTTGGCACGTCCCGTACCCCCGACATCCCCAACTAAGAGACTACTTTTTCTGGTTTTCTTCAGGCCGGTGAATGGCTTGCTTGATTCAATACGGGATAAATATCGAGCTCGATGATCAAAGCTTGAACAGTACATACAGGTTCAAAATACAATGAATAAATGAAGGAAAATGAGGGATAAAACGCTTATCACGCGGCCTTGAACGGCCTAATCAGGGAATGCGCCCAACTTCCCAGGACTTTGGATGGAGACCCAGGCAAATCGGTAGAGTACTGAATACTATTCACAGATATGTAGACCAAAACTGCTACGCGACCTTTCTAGGCAAGTTGTGAGCGGTCAAAGTTGGCAAGAAATGCAGTAAAAAGTGAGTTGCCACCAAACTGGCGCCAGATCGCCTCTGTCTCAAAAATGAATGTCATATTCGTGACCAGGCCATCTGTTTACCCCTAAGTACTGTTCAGGAAAAACTAAAAACGCCGATGCGGTCAGATTAGCTCGCCTTCTACAATGAAGAAGTTGAAAGCGTTTTCTAGTTAGATACATCTGAATTCAACATCCAGAGCGGACATGTAATGGCTTTTGATTTTTTCTTCAAAACATTATTCCGCAAAGCCGTCGATGGCTCCGTCCAATAGTCCTGTCTAAAATTAAACACACCGCCCTGGAGAAGCCCGTAGTCTCTCCAATTTGCAACTGGGCTGGTATGGGCGATGATTAGTTATCGCTTGCGAGTCTTCTATTGGCTGGGACCCCCTTGCCGTAAAATTTAGATGCATGAATAGGCTCGCTCCCATTCAAGAAAAATAATGGTAGGTGACGTCAGTTTAATTCTTCAGACAAATTTTTTGATGCTGGAAATTTTAGGGCGGCGAAAAACGTGAAGTTGAAAGCGTGCAGAAGCATGTGTGCAACTCGAAAAGTTGGAGTTCGTAATGAAGAAGCAACTAGAAAAGGGAAGGATCCTGTTCAAGGTCGTCATTTTGTATATATTATATTTAGTTTTATTAATTATTTGTGTTTATTATTTTTTGTGATTTTTTGAGTTCGTTCTTAATGTGAAAGAGTACTCTCGATTTTCAGTTTGTCCTCAATAAATAATATTTTCTTACAAAATTTCAGATGAACTACACTGGTCTCATCAGCAACACTCTCGGCGGACTTTATCAGGCAACCTATATTGATACGGATGGAAAAACTAAGTGAGTTGTACTACCTGACACAGGGCGGTCATCGGTATTGTGGCAGAAATTCGTAGCCTAAAATTCCTATGAAACTGATATAGATATGGCCTACGCCACAAATAGAAAGCGTGGAAAGGAAAAGGACTTCACAGTCTCTCCACCTTTTTTTACTCTTTTTTCGGCACCATTTATGAATTCGAAGGATTCTACACAAAAGTTACAACAGCACGTTCCTCTGATGAAAGGAAAGGGTCAGGCCAAGCCTTATCATAGCCATGGAGCTCCCAAGAAGACAAGGGTAAGAACCGAGAGGAGAATCCGGTGGTGGAAGTTGCACCGAGCAGAGAAGAGCGACCTCAAGCGAAGGATAATGGAAGTTGGTCTCCCAGATCCTGAGGGACCAGTGCAGCGGACTTGGGGCAATGCAGCTGAGATCATCCTACGATGCGCCAAGGAGGTACTGGGCGAGACGCGAGGTGGATTCAGAGGAGACAAGGCAGCGTGGTTCTGGAACGAGGAGGTCCAGCGAGTCGTGAAGCAGAAGAAGGAAGCATACAAGCGCTGGCAGAAGACCCGGAGCCCCGAGGACCTCGCTGCCTACAAGAGTTGCAAGAGGCTCGCTAAGGCTGCCGTCGCCAAGGCGAAGAACACGGAAGATGGACGCCTTGTACGAGAAGTTGGAAAGCAGAAACGCAGAGAAGTTCGTCTTCAGACTGGCCAAAGCCCGGCTACTCAAGATATCAGGGTGGTGAAGAGCGTGAAGAGCAGCAACGGCGCCATCCTGAGGAAGCCAGCCGAAGTCGGAGGAGGTGGGAAGAGTACTTCAGAGGTCTTCTGAACGAGGAGTTCCCCACAAGAACAACTCACGGGCAGAGGCCACAGCTGGTCCCATCGCACTCTGGACAGAGGATGAGGTTAGGTGTGCACTTGGGAGGATGAAGGTTGGAAAGGCGGTTGGTCCAGATGGGGTGCCAATCGAGGCATGGAAGGCGCTCGGAGAGTACGGCATAAGGTGGCTCACCAGCTTCCTGAACAAGGTAACAGTGGAAGGAAGGATGCCGGATGCCTGGAGAACAAGTACTATCGTCCCCATCTTCAAGCAGAAGGGTGACGCGATGGACTGCTCCAACTACCGCGGGATCAAGTTGACTGCGCATACCATGAAGTTGTACGAGCGACTCGAACTGCGGGAGCTGGTCCCGATCTCCCAGGAACAGTTCGGGTTCATGCCCGAAAGGTCTACAACGGATGCCATCTTCATCGCAGGCAAGTGATGGAGAAGTATCGAGAAAAGCGCCGACCCTGCTACCTAGCCTTCCTCGACCTGGAGAAGGCGTTCGACCGGCTACCGCGAGCAGTACTATGGAGATCGCTCAGGGAACGAACGTGCCAGAACACCTGATCTCTCTGGTGAAGGACATGTACGAAGGGGCTAAGGCAGCCATACGCACCCCACACGGCCTAACGAAGGAGGTGGACATCACGGTTGGGGTGCACCAAGGGTCAGCTCTGAGCCCGTTCCTCTTCCTCCTAACACTAGATGTCCTGGTGAAGGGGCTCATGGAAGGGACCACTGAAGACCATCCTCTACGCTGACGACATCGCCTTGATAGCGGATAGCAGAGAAGAACTTCAAGCCAAGGTGCAGAAATGGCAGAAAGCCTAAGAAGGGTTCTGCCCATGAGCATAAATATTGCCTTTACTTGGGCTGAGGCCGTCCGGAAAAATGGTAGGACATCGCGAGAGACCATTGTCGAATGTGGTGCATCCACACGTTGTCTGCGAAATTCACGCTGTTGATGGACTTGAACCTTTGGTGCAAAGTTGTGACGGAATCGTTACCGCTGCAGTGAAGAGCACTATTTAAGGACGTCGATAGAGTTGTCGAGAAAGGGTGAGCCTACAAAGGCTGCAAACTATTGGACATTGTGGTGTGGCCATTCGATACCAACTTAGAACGATAGTGCCTCACCGTTGACGTATCGGTGCCGTGCCGTTGGTCAGTGCCTCTCCACCACCCCTGCTTTGACCCACGCACACTGGAACCTTGAATATGGTCATTTCTGGAAATTCTTCACCGACCTTTGATGCGATTACGGCGACAGTCCACGTTTCGTCTTGTCATGGTGTGTACTTCCATTTTTTCAGTAGTCGCCGTTTATTTTTAGCAGCCTCCCCAGTCGTACAGCTCCACTCAAGGGTTTCGCTTACTTCTAATGTTGTAAGAAATTGACGAGGATTTCAGATCGCACGCTTTTTCTAGCACATTTTGCAAACTCAATCATTAGTTGCTTTTCTCATCTAATTGCATTCAGTTCAATTTTTTTGGGCCAAGATTGGCTTCTTGGATATCCATAAAAATGAAGGCCACACTTTTAGAATTGCTGCAGTGACTAACATGGAGCCAACAGATGCTCGCCGAATGGTACCATGCCTGGATGAACCGAGTTTCAAAGCAAATTGGACCGTAACTGTAATTCATCCGAATGGTACAACAGCCATATCGAATGGCATTGAAACGGAGGAAGAGCGGTTAGTGGAACTGTCATCGATGTACTCTAACATAAAAATGTTTTCTAAAATAAGATGTTTTGGATTTCGTACGCGAAAAGTGCTAAAAAACTTTTGATGAGAAGTTCATGCAGAGCAGATGAGCAAGTGTAAAATAAGGGATAAGTAAGGTCCACTGGCGCTTATGTGAAGTGTCCCCTCTTCTATTATCAGCCAAATGCTCGACAAACTTGACATATTTGTCCACTGAAACAGTACAACACATGAAAACAAGCTATTGATCACAACAAAAGACGTCACCGAAAATAACAGGATTAGTAAATTGGATCACCTTGTCTCCTGAGCCTTCACTGTCGGTTGCGTGTGGACAAATTCGGCGTCTGAAAGAGCAGTGCTTCAGACGCCGAATTTTTACCAAGCAGTGCTTCAGACGCCGAATTTTTACCACACGATGAGACGTGAGATGCAGAGGGTGGCACTCCCAGGGTTGTGGTTTCACAAAAGTAAACCTTACTCTGAGCGACCCTCCGATCATAAATTTTAGACAAGATATGATAACGATTGATACAGCGGCCCATTTGAGCAGCCGTGTCTTGTGGACCAAGGTCTGGATTGCGGGTCGAGTAGTGCCTCTGTTGCGCACTCTGAGCCCAATAAGGGACCACGCCATTAACGCTTATTCGCCTGTCTACTACGCCCGGGGATCGAGGAGGTGAACATGCCTAATCACGGAACCGTGCCTTTAGGTAAATTACCAGTGTTGCTGCCAACATAGCTGGCAAGGCCACACCAATGTGGGTGACCGTATTCCGTTACTAATCGAGTATTTCTGTCTCTAACGAGCCGCTGGAGATGCTGAACTCCATAGGTTTTTATGTAAATATTACGCATCCACATTTGTGCATGTACACTTAGAAATGGCTATTCAATGCGCAATCAAAAGGGTACAGCAGTTGGTAGGCTTTGCTGGTATACGGCATTGGAATCAGGTTGGAAACCAGTGCTTCATGCCTTATTTACATTAACCGGTTGCTCTTCATGATTTTTGATACTCTGCGTTTTTTACAGGGACCCCAGTGGGCGTTGGATCGTATCGAGATTCAAAACTACTCCACCAATGTCTTCTTACCTGTTGGCCCTTATTGTTTCAGAATTCGAGTTCAATGAAGGCAAAACGGAAAGTGGTGTGCGGGTGAGACAGCCATTCACTCTACGCCTAAGCTGGCCTGAAAATAACTTGTCCCATTCAGTTCCGAATATGGTCACGCCCAGAAGCGAAAAATATGACACAATACGCCTTGGGAGCCGGTGTCAAATGCTTGGAATCCTACGAGAAATTTTTCAACATCAAATTTCCTCTCGAAAAGCAAGGTTTGTGTTCGAATTTGATGAACGTTTGTGATGAATGAGAAGAATTGGGTCTTCCGTGCACTTTCAGTTTTCCAATTTTATGAACTTTTCATTTTCAGATATGGTTGCTGTTCCTGATTTCTCGCTAGGTGCTATGGAAAACTGGGGCCTCATTATTTATAGGTGATTTCCCATAGAAGTAACCCTTATGTTTCATTCATAAAATCTC